GGGGTTGAAGCAAAGGGTTAGGCAAGTGATTTGAGGGGCAGAGCACTATCTGGATGTCAAGATATATTTCAGCAGGGCCAACAGAAAGAAGGATGATTGCAGTAATTGAGAGGAGAGCCAGTCAGCTCTTAGGTATTTGAAAGAACAGGAAATGATTATATTCATAATAATGAATCTGCCTGACCTAGATGTGGGTGCCTGGGAGAAGGTACAGAGAGAAATCTGTGTTTGGTGATCCGTGGGTTGTTGGTCTGCAATACAGGTAAGATGTCGTAGTGCCCTCAGTGGTGAGGAAATAACATGGAAGAGGGATGTCATGACCTTAAGCCATACTGGACTTGCATTGTCAACTCTACCAGCATCTTTTTGCCAGTCTCACTAAGATCTTTTTAAAAACTTTGGAGAACATACACAGGCAAAACAGACATTTGACAGTTCTCAGCACAGAGATGTTAGCTGGATCTTTATGCTCATGCAGATTGAAATAATTCAAAATAGGAGGCAGAGGGAGAAAAGAAAGGGACCAAGGAAAGAGCTTTGTTAAGGAACACCAAGAGCTAGCTGGGAACAGATTGGGAAAATTGTGTCACTCTTGCATACTATCTTGAAAGTAGCCATTGGAATAGTAGGAACAGAATGAAGAGAGATTCAAAAAAGTGAAAATATATGGTCTCAGTAGAGCACCATTACTGATGCCAACAGCTGCTAGACAGCTAGAGCTGTCTGGGTAGAGATGATTAAAGAAGGGGGAAATATGCAGCAGGTTTAGGGTGAAATTAGAGGGGCGAATCTCCCAGCAGTCTTGTTGGCAGCAGTCTAATGGCAGCCATTAGAGATGAGGTTTAGAATGAGGAAGATGGAGTGAGGTAGGATCTAGAAAGTAGTGCTAGGAATAAGCAGTTGTATAGTTGGCTGGGAAATCTGTAGAAAAAAATAAAGTTATTTTTTCAATAGCTATTTAGGATCCAAAAAGTGTGACTGCTTTTCTTTGTTCTCTTGCTTTTATAACTGTGTCATCTTTCTGTTTTGTGGTTGTTTGGGATCTGCCCTTTGTGAGATATTTTTGCACAATGTAGCTTTCAAAATCTTCCTTCTGTTTATTACTACCTCCGCCCTTTTTTTTTCTTCCAAATGCCATCTATTTCATTTGAGAATTGTACCCTGGGGTGCTTCAATTATTTATGAAGGTGGAATATTTGGGATGTGCTATTCACAAGTGCTTTCAATATGCCATCTGAGCTTTGAATATGAGCAGAATCACTAATATTTTAGTTTCTAGGGCACATTCTCTTAAATGAGCAGTCAAGATGCAGCTTTTGTTCCTAAGTGTTCAGTATTCTACTCAGTCTCCGTGAGACCTTAAGAAGCTTCCACATGAGGATGATGAAAATATGTCGGATTGAACGTATGTGGTGCTGTAGGGCTGCCAGGTGGCAGAATTGACCATGTTGCTGTTCTGATAAGAAACAAATAATTGAGGGATGACTAGATAAAGCTCCATTTCTGTCCCAGCACTGAGGGTTAAAGATCTTCAGCCTGTAGCTGCCTTCTAAGACATATCATGTCGTATCTGTAGAAGTTACTCCATTTGGTGCTGTAGATCAAATGGATCGGTACCCACTAGAAAATGATATACAGTGAAAGAGATCTCTGCAGATATTCAAGAAGCATTGCTTTGACTGTCACCTGCAGAAGCAGAAGATATTGGCTGCAAGAATCTCCATCTGTTATCCAGCAAGAGTTGTTCAGCCTGCACTCCTGACGATATTGTGCTGTTGGTGCACATGGAAAGGGAGCAAAGCTCTAACGCTGTCCCAGGGCAAACCAGAAAGTCTAGTGAGTGGTTTAACAAACATTTTTGGGGAACAGCTTCCAACTGTGACTGTGAAGGTCTTGTAGCCAATTCCTGACAATTTGTGCTTTTTCTGCAGGCTACTGACTCTTAAATACTACTAATGCATTACAGAAAAGGAGAGATAGCTGTGGGCTTCTGTAGGCAGGATCTTAATGATTTGAGGTAGAATGAAATAATCTGGAGATTAATTCCTGAGAGGACAGGGAGCGGGGAAAGTAAAGGCCATATGGGATCTTAGGAATTTGCAAAGATACTTGAAGCTATGCCTTTGTCAGTAGCCACTGTTTCACAGCAGCCTTTATGCCTTCCAACATTGTGCTGCTGTCATCCATCTTCCCAATAGAGCTGGACATGATAAAGCTTTGAATGATGCTTCTCCAAAGCAAGAAATACTGTGCCAAGAACAAAGGCTGTTGTTGGATAGGCAAAAAAGTGCCCAAGGAGAAATAAAAGGAGTACATTTAACATTGAAGAAGGAGGGAAGGTTTAGCAGTGGGTATGAATGTTCGAGTAAAGGGCACTGGGGAGGTGAACAGAGCAGAGAGGAGAATCACAGCCAGGTGCACAGGGAATTTTGCTAACAAAACCTGTGGAGTATGTAGCATCCTAATATGAAAATAGGGTTACCTCAGCAGACAGTTGCATGGTGGGCATGCTTTTTAAAGTAGCTGCTTGCAGGCGCATACCAGCCCACAGTGAGGGACCAGTTGGCACACCAGCAGTGCCAGAAGTCTGTCTCATGCCTTAGAGGGACAGCACTCTGTAAGGAACATGGAGTGAGAATGGTGCAGCAGATTCCTGGTTGGCTAAGATTTACTGGATTAGGGGAGGTAAGGTGTAGGACACTTTTGTAGACTTGGAGAGATTCCTGCTTTGTTTTCAGCTCAACTGCTAATCCAAGGTCAAAGCTAATCTACCCACATCTTCTGTCTCCACTGCCTTGTCTGTAGATTTTAAAAGTTTGATGTGTGGTCTCTGTGCTGACATAGTACCCTAATCTTAATTTTGTTGCCAATAATCATGAAATACCTTTGCTGTAAATTTGGAACAATCTGCCATTTGAATGCATTCCACTGTTAAGCTGCTCTCTGAATTCCTGATTAATAACCTAAATGACTTATCATAATTAGCTACTCCTCAGCCTTAGAATTGGGGAACACACAAATTTGACAGCTTTCAAAGTAAGTGGAGCAGGATCAGAGAGTCTACAAACATTGCTGCCTTTGTCCTCATCTGGAAACTGTTTCTATCAAAAAGGGGATTAAATTTTTTTTTTTTTAAAGCAATGTGGATTTAAGACTTCTTTTTAATACATGCTGTATTTCTTTTTGGAATTAGTGCGCATTTGTCCTTGCACCAACTTTGTTCTTTAGCATGTCAGTACCTTCAAACTACAAATTATGTCTCATTTCTCAGAGATTTCATACATAACACACTCTGATGAAGTCTATTCCACAATGCACGAATTGCTAGGGAATATTACATAAAATATATAGAGAGTATCAGTGCTGGGAGATGCACCACCTAAAATAGGGAGAAGCTGTTTAATTGAATTTTGTTCCTCTCTGAGATCATTGAGTTACAAATTCCTGGGAGCTCTACTGCAAACATGAGCATTTTTGTTCTCTGAGCATTGCAATGAACTTTCATTTGTAACAAGGTGTGTGTAAGAGAAATATGCTATACAGGAAAGCAATGCTGCATGCTTTGCATTGTTGAAGTCTCAAACAAATTTAGCAAAGTTGTTGTGGAGTGATGTATCCAAAGAACAAGGCAAAATTCCTTTTTCCTGCCCCTGAATACTGAAAAAGTTTCAGCTTTTTCTCTGACAGGTTAAAATTTTCTGGAATTCATAAAACTTTTGAGTATTTCAGAGCCAAAGTCACGAAGGCATGCCTGAGCAATTTTTTCAGAAAATTTGCATTTGTGTGTGTTTTTAAATCTTTCCAAGTTCCGTGGTGTTACAGTACTGTTTGAATGACTGAGCAGTGTCTGCTTCATCTCATTTTTCTTTCCAGCAGGTTATTTCTGCTGACTCTTAGAACAAGATGAAGGTTGGATGCCTAGTTGACTTTACTGGGTGTTGAACTTTGGTGAAAGTTATGCTTGTAAAATACTGTCAATGAAATAAAATGAGAGTACAAATGTGTACAAATTTGTATACGAATGAAGGGTTACACATTTTCTTCCTCTGCATGGCAATGCAGGAGACTCCTCTCCTGGAGGGGTCTCTGGTAGTAATGAAGCAATAGCTTGACTTCAGTGCTCTTTCGGTTGTTGGGACTGTGTTTGGTTAATTATAGTCACATTACTGAGGGGTTAGTGTTCCTGCACTCCAACACAAACACGTGTGTCCACCTACAGATGATGGTGACAGCTGTCTTGAAATGCATAGCCCTGTGGACTGACTGTAGCAGGGTATGTGCTAAAGCTCCTGCAGCCTGCTGCAAGTGAGACAGGCATTTCTGTCCTAACCACAGCGTGTGGTGCTGTACCCAGCTTCTGCTTCAGTCTGTTTTGGTGGGTTGTCTCCAAATCATGATCTAAGTAAAGGATCTAAGAACTAGCACTGTACCTGGAGAGTTTGATGAGGATGTTCTGGCTGGTTGGGTATGCGTTTAGCTGGCTCCTCTCATTTATGGGGATGCATACACACTTTCATCACAGTCTGACAGTTGCTGCCAATGGGAAATAAATCTGAATATTAATGCAGTAAAGGTAATGGGCCATTTCCTTCTGGTCATCTTGTACTGGCCTTTCTTGAAACTGAAGTTCCCATGCTCTCCTTTTGCTGTCAGCATTGAAGGCTACACAGATTCAGTACAACACAATCTCAGTTATGACTGGAGTCTTTTTCTGCCAAGCAAACAATTTTCACACTGCGTAACAGTGAGAGGAGCCTCAGGAAGTCCTTAAAATGAGGTGAAGGATGGTGTATTTATTGGTAACTGTGCCAGCTAATCTGAGGTGGTTTTAAAGCAACAGCCCCTTAAAAGGGACTTTAGTCAGCATTTTATAAAAAGTGTCTGCTGCCTTGATTTTCAGCTTGTCTCAACATAGAGTTGTATAAGTATGTTGAGAGTTGCATCTGCTCTCTCTGGATTCATTATAACCTTCTGACTTTTCTTACCATTTCTTATTTAAGATTTATGTCCATCTCAAAGAAGGGAGTGGTGCAGATGGGCTGGATGCTTTAAAGAACAAACCGCAGCTTCACAGTATGGTGGCTAAAAGCCTTTGTCAGAACGCCTCTGGGAAGAACTACATCATCTTCACAGGCCCGAGCATTACCAGCCTGAATCTCTTTGAAGAATTCGAGAAGCAAGGTGTGTATTGGGTGACTGACTGGGTTTTAATGGTGACAGACCTAGGTACCTCCTGCCACTGAATTAAAAAAAACTTCCAAAAGTCTTCACTGGTATTTCGATTCCTTGTATAGGTAAGTTGTTGATCTCTGAGAAATGTTCTCATTCATGAGAAGGTGCTATACAGAGAACTTCCTAAGTTTGTCTTGAAGTCTTATGCTTTAAATCTTCAAAATGGGGATGTAAAACACATTTTAAATAAGGTTAGTTAAAGCCCTTGCTTTTGTTCTTTGCCTTAGAAATGGGAAGTCAAATCTATATGGCCTGGGGGACTTTTCCGGGGATTTCCTATCTGCTTGTGATTTTTCTGTTCCCGTTGTGAAAGACTATGGGTGGGATAAATCCTTAGCAATGTACCTTAGAGTCTTTGTTGCTTTAATATCTGTTGAAGATGTGACTTCTCTAGATGATATTCTGTGCCACTGCAAAAGCCCTAGAAATGTTTGCCTTTTTTTTTTTTTTTCTTCTTTTTCTGGAGGCTGCCGATATGCATCACGGCAAGGCCATTTCCTGATTCAACACACCACTGATGTCCAAGTTTTGCTTTTGGCATTGCAGAAAATTAAACCCACACAAACCATTATATTAATGAAACATGGCCCAAAGCCAAGGGAAGGTCTGGGAATTGAGACAATATGTTGATTCTCATTTAAAATGAGAACACTGGTGAGCTGCACCAGTGCTGTAGTTGAGTGCTTCAGACTGTGCTGGCACTGAGGGTTCTGTGTGTTGAGTTCCATGCAGGACTTAGCTCCTACATTGTTTTAGGTAAGCTGAAAGCTCACTGCAGTACAGTGGAATACCTGCATATTCTTGTAAAAGAGCTATGATTTCCCAGAGGCTGCAAACAGCCAAATGGGAAAGAAGTCAAACATATTTGTAGTGCACTGGAGTTTTTCCTCTGAGCAGAGACTGATCTTTAATAGTCTTTTACAGCTGATTATAAGCATTGCATTTTTAAAACTACTAAATCAGTGATGCAAAATGTGGGTTTAAAAAAAATGGAGAGGATAACACACATACTCCTAGTACCTGAGATTAAATTTTAAGGTTTAAATACAAAGACTCACAGACAAAAACTGGACTGTTGAGTTGCACCCTTTATACTCAGCTAGGAAAGAATAAGGACAATCTGGTGTGATCCAGTTGATCCGTAACACTGGTGAAAAAGATGCATGGCTACTAAACCAGCTGAGTGTTTATTACTTGCAGATAATTCAAATTGTTCACAGGGTTGAATTTCTCATGGGCTTTACACTGCCCAGATCATTCAAATGAATGGTTTCTAGCGGGTAACGAATTCAGTAATGTCTTCTTAAAGCATGTAATTTTTACTTACCACCTGATCAAATATGCTAATGCAATACTGAGATTTTAGTTTGGTTCATGATTTGTTTTATAGCTTCTTGAGACTTTATGATCCTTGACAGCTGCCTCCAAAATTAAATTTCAGATCTGGTACACACTGTTGCCTTCCTAGGGGTGAAGCAAGGAGGTGGGTGGGGGGTGAACAGTAAGATAGCAAGTTTATTGACTTTGCAAAATAGCATGGCACTCCTATATCAAGAAGATCATGGGGAACAAAGCATTTCTGTTTAATAAGGTGATGGGATTGTCTGCATTTGCCAGGAGTTACAAGGGGCTAGCTCAGAGGTTTTGCAGGGGGATGTTGAACTGGAAAGACTGTGAGACACTGGGAGAGGTGAGATGCTTGAGGTGCCAAGCTGGGGTGAAGTCAGTAAGAGCCTTGGAGGAGATGGTGTTTACTGACTCTGCTGCAAAGCAGATGGTGTATTGCCAGCACCTGCTGGGATCCTACTGCATTGGCAGGACACTTGGGAAGAGGTGAGCAAAGAAACCTGGACTTGACAGAGAGGTCTCTCCTGATCTATCAGAGTAAGTCAACGTTGGGATTTTCTGGTAGGTGGCTTAGCCAGCTCAATCTGAAAAGTGCCACACCATGACCAAGAGGTGTCATGAGAGCCTGTTGAAAAGCAGCTACGCTCAGGTGCTCATGACAGTTCACGACCCATTCTTAAACTGATGAATTTACTTTTTTTGTTAAAGAAAATTTAGTTTCTGAGCTAAAGCACAATCAGCAGTAGATAGATCTCATGGGGAACTGAAAAAAATGTTATTAACTGCTTTATTGTGTGGGGGTTTTGTGGCTTTTTCTTGTGACTATCAACAGAGAAATAGGGAAAGATTTAAATAAGCTCATGCTTGGAAGCTATAAACTTTCTGGGAACATAAAAGTTTAAGGGAACTAAAGGGAATTCTGGAAAATCTAGAAAGAATCACCCACTAAAACTCTATTAGTTCCTCTCAAAATTCTTGGTGAAAAAGAACCTGGGGTCTTGGGAGCTAGTGAGCTGGACATGAGTCTTCAGTGTGCCCTGACAGCAAAGTTGTTCAACACTGTCCTGGGCCGTGTTAACAGGAGTGTAGCCTGTAGACCAAGGGAGCTGATTATTGTCTCCTACAGTTTTAGACAACATGCCCCCCAGTAGAAGAAAGGCATTGATCAACTGGAGTAAGTTCAGCACAGAGACACCCACCTGACCATTGGCTGTGCTACAGGCTGTGCTGTGGGGAGGGAGCTGTTCTTGTTCAGCTTGGGAAGAGGCTTTGTGAGGATGCAACAGCAGCCTTATGGTACCCTATTGAGAGAACAGAGCTGGCTCTTCACAGTGGTGCATTGTGGAAGGACAAAAACCAACAAACATAGGCTAAAACAAAAGATGTTCAGGCTAGATGCAAGGTTTTTCCTGAGGGCAGTGAAGCAGGATGTCCAGACAGGTTGTACGGTCTCTGTCCTTGGAGGTTTTCAATCCCAGACAACGTGAAGCCCTGAGCAGTGCTGTCTGGCGTCAGAGCTGATCCTGCTCTGCCAGGACATGGGATTAGAGACCTCCCAAGTTGCTTTTCAACCTGAATTGTGCTTTAATCGATTGGATTCTGTTATCCTGTAAAAACTTTTGTGGAATCTTAACTATCATTCACTTTCCCTAACCCTATCCCCTACATGCTAAAAACACTGTGTTCTTTATTGAGAGCCTGCTGTGTAGCATCTTCACTGTACCACACTAGACAGTAATGTGCCTAGTAATATAAAGAGATGTTGGTGAACATTATTGTAAGATCTATAAAGATAGCAAGAACTGAGAAAACTTCAGAAAATAAGACAGAACACTTTGATCTTTTTCCAAATCAAAATCCTGAATAGACCTCTTTTTTGTTTTTCAAGCGATGCACAAAGAATTTCTTTCTCTGGCTGCTGAATAGAACTGGAAACCTGCACTGAAATGCCCCAGATTCTCTGTTCTGCAAGCAGAGAGCTGTCATTGCTATTTGCTGTGACATTCGTTCATAGTGCATGTACATTTTTCCCTCTCTAACCATTGGTGGTGTCCTTTGTAGAGGACAGAACCTCCTAAAGCCCTGTGTCCCATGTTTCCCTTAAACATATGATTCCCAGAAGTCCCTTTTGCACATTCTGAACCAGGAGAAACAGCTGGCTTTATCTTGCAGAGGGACTGGTGTTGGCAAAGCTGCAAGTGCTGCCGTTCTGAGTGACCATGGCATTCCCACAGGCTTTGCACAATCCTGCAACTCCAGCACGTGGACTAAAGCAAGCTCATTTCTCCACTCCACAACAGCCCCCTCTCCAGTTTCTGACTTGACCCAGTGTTTCGTGCAGAATAAATGATTGCAGAATGTGTATTTTTGCCAGAATTAGCTCGAGCCTGGTGGCCTTTGGGAATGGTACTAGTGAAGATGTGGTGAAACAGGCTTCAGAATAAGCTCTCTGGGGACTGGTGACTCTGGGAATGTTTTGCTGACTACACCTACATTTCTTCTTCTTTGCTAAACTGTCTTAGGTTTATTCATTTACATTGCACTTACAGTTTAAGAGGTCCAAAGAAGGACAACCTGTCTCCACTGATTCCCATGTGTGTGGCAAACACCTGTTGTTATTCTGATTTAATTACACACAAAAACTTCATTGAGCCAGATGGGCATAATTTTTATTGCTTCTATTGCCATAGTAACTGGGTAGTTTTAAAAAACTCTGCAGATTAAGGGTGTCATCCATGATGAGAGAGGCTAGTAAATCTGCAGAAGTGCTGCACTTTTCTAGGCTATACAGCAGGAAGGTTACACGATGTGTTCCTGAGAGAGAAAGTAGTTCCCAATATTCTGTATGAGGAGCGAAACATCTGCTGGAGGCTTTCTGCAGGCTTATTGCTACAATAAAAGGAAAGGCTACAATTAATTATTATGGACTCTCAGAGGTGGCTGTTGCTGTTTTGAAAATCTAGCACAATAATTTTGTAGTTATGAGCTTGGTTTTATATCATTGCAGTATGCTGGAGAAAGTATCACATTTCAGTGAATCATAAACTTTAGGCAGCTAAAGAAATTATTCTCAGGCTCACTTGTTATCAGAGCAGGGAGATCTTAATATTGGCTAGAAGAAAGCTTTCTAAAAGTTAGCTATGTTAATGGCAAAGTTTGCAGGTACGTGCCCTGCTGTTTGGGTACCTCAGCAACAGAAGACATTAAAAAAACCCCAAACCTCTATATTGATTGTAAGCCTGTTGTCATCAGGCTTCTCTCGGTGTCTTTTGTGGAAGTAACTTACTGATTTCCAGGGACTGATTCATTCATTAGAAATAACCAATGGAGGGCAGGTTTCCTCCTTGAGGATGAAGTTTCCCCATTGCCGTGTTAGTTACCACCTTCTGACTTAAATGGCTTAAATTTCTGATGGAAGAGCTGTAGCTCCTTGTAGATATGTCCACAGCAACAAGACTAATTAATGAGTATTTTCAATTATTTTATTAGTATTCCTGTAGTATCTGTGAGCTGTTGAGGGAATGCTCAGCATGCCAGTCAGTGTATGAACCAAGGACAAAGGCTTCACCTGCACTCAAGAGCTTAGGTCATTCCAGAAAGACAGAGGCAGAAGAGCCACATAAAAGGAAAACCAAGAACAGAGGTATTATCTTTAGGGGAAGCCAGACACTGTATTCTGACTTTGCATTTCCTCTGTAAGGATACCATGCAAAATTTGGCATGATGGCAAATTTGATCAATCAGACTTAGCTGACAGATGAGCTTTAAACCACCACAAGATGTGCACAGATGTCACCTGCTTCCACACCCATTGTTTTTTTCCACTCAAGTGGGTTAACATAAAACTGAGGGAGACCGTGGAAATTTCCATCCAAGATTTCCTTGGAAAAATTGGATCAAGAAGATCTGCTTCTCTCGGACTAACAGAAAGAGGTTGTTATTATTTCACAGCCTAATGACAAATTCAAGCATTGTTATTAATGTTGTTTCCAAATCTTGTTTGTGCCCACCTGGCTGCACTGAGGTGTGTTTTGTGGTGCTAGATTTTATTCATTGCCTCTTTCACAGGCCAAGAAGCTGTGAGAGCAGCAGGCTGTGTCGCCTGCAGAGCCTCTGATGTCTGTGCAGGACAAGATCAGTCTGCACTCAGCTAGGGCACAGTGTGGTTTATCTCCTTGGCCTAAAATCAGTTTTCACTGAACTTGTATTTCCATCTTCTCCATCCTTCTGGCATATGCATTTTTAAAATCAGCCAGTGTTTTCAGTGTTTTTTAACTGCTTAAGCAGCATTTCCTTAGTAAACCAGATGATGCAGGCACAAGGAGTAGTGCACTGAAAATTAGGAACTTGGAAGCACAATGGAAGCAGTAGATTAAACCAGAGTTTGTCACCTATGTATATTGTGATTAGAAGCATCATGGGAGCCATGTAGGAGAATTTATTTCAGTTATCATCTAAGATGCTATAGCTTTCCCTACTTCTCTGCTCCCTCCACAATTTATTCTCTTAGCTAAACGTCAGAGACTCTCTGGATAATAAATTCTGATTGTCCCATAATGCGTATCACTGTTGGGCTTTTTTTTCAGACCAATTTTAAACATGTTGTGAAGACTATTACGCAGATTGAAGATGTTATTGCTAGGAAGGTACCCAGAATTGTTTTTCTTGTCATTTCATCATAACTGTGCAGGAGGTGTGAATACATTTAATCAAGAGAACAGACCTTCTGCACTTGTCTCTGTTTCCAGAGACGTTAATATAGGACACAAATCTTTGGTATTACAGAAGAAAACCAGTTGGTTGACCTATCTGTTGGACTAGAAGGTTGCAGGGCAAGTTCTTTCTCTACCCAGGTCACTCAGACTTGCTCTTCTGTTTTTGCTCTCTGGGTCCATGCAGTGGGTTGCTGACAGGGAATATGTTTGTTCATATGCAGAGATTTACTGCTGTGGGTTGCTGAGCACCAGGAAGAGTGACTGCACAGGCCTACCTCCATCCATGCTGAACAATTCTGAAACTCCACAGTCCAGAGGGCAGTACAGAATAAGAATGAAGGGAAACATGTCCTTGATCTGCTGGTACAATAAAGGGCACTTTCGTTTTCTGACCAACGCCTATTCACCGGTTCAACAAGGTAAGCAATATTCCTACTTCTCATCTCAGAAGTGCATATGCTTTATGTCACAAGGCAAAGAGAATAAACCTGAACAAAGAGCTTGATCGTAATTGATCGTAACATTCTGGATAAACAGGAGCAGTAGTGATTCCCTTTTGTGTCTTCCTACAGCTGTTCTTTTTTCCTGTACAAAGGTTAAAAGCCTACTGCCAATGCAGCCTCCTTTGCCTGAGCTGGTGGAGGCAGTGTCCTTTCAGGTATAAAGATTATATCTTTTCTGATGGTCAGAGAAGGGAAGATGATTATTGTATAAGACTATACTAGCCCCATTTGCAAAGCATCTTGTAGGATTGCTGCTAAAGAAAAATTAATGAACGTCATGATGTACTTAGAACTCTGAGCAGAGCCTACAATTAATTTATCTTACCCAGTAAAAACTTAGTCACAAACTAACGTCTTTTTGCCAGAAGTTAATGTGATTAAGGTTTCCTGTTCTATGTTAATTTGATTTTAGCAGTTGATGAAAAGAAACCAAAACAGATAATTTGGATAGTTCAAATAATGGCGAGAGAGTTTCTTGCTACTGAAATCTTTTCCTTTTTGAAAGTATACAGATGGTATTAAGAACGTTTGGAAACTTCTGTTAAATGCAATATGACTAGCTAACTCCTTGAAAATAGTTTTTCAGTGAAAATATTGTTTCAGTTTCTTATAATTTTTATTATTCAGATTTATTTATAACTACCAGAAACAAATAAGAATAACCTAAACCTTTAACTGTAAAGCCACCAATTCAAAGACACCTTCTACACTCATTTTCTGAATCCCAGGCAACTCTCACATGCGTGTACAGACTACGTAAGCAAAGTTAATGCCAAAAATGACCGTATGGCAAGCTGAGAAGCTGACTTAGTGTGTTGTTCAATGCCTTGCCAGAAGGCTTATTTCCTTAACAAAGAGTGGTTCATCCAGAGGAATTCTGCTGGGCACCCCAGTGGAGTGACAACTTGGTGACTCAGATGGGCTGGTGTCTGAGAATAAAGGCTGAAAATATGTGAAGGAAATATGACACTTTAAAGACCCTGCTAAAGTCAGTCCCTGGAACAGTGTTGCTTCCCATGAGGGGCATTCACCATCAGGATTTGTGCTGTTTTCCTTGTGCACTTCACTGGATTTAGATTATTCAGCTGCACTAACTGGACAAGAGTTATCATTACATGTCACCTGTTTTTTATAGACAACCATGGAGCATTTGGTTATAATTCACAAATATTATTAGAGAAATACTCTAAACATTGATGTTAACTGCCCCATTAAAAGGGGGAGCAAAAGCAGGCTGTCCTTAGAAGGAGCACATGGAGGTGTGAGTTGTTGTGCTTGTGACTGACCTTGGGTCTGTTTTGGCATGGATGGGATTGAAGGTACTGTGTGTGAGGTAGTTTAACATCCACCAGTTAGGACCTCTGTGTGTGAAGGCCAAGGCCTGCCCAACACATTGCTCACCAAATGCTGGCTGGGACAGCTGACATAGTTCACGGTGAATCAGAGCAGAAAACAGAGACTGGCTTTTTTTTAAAGAGTGATGCTGGGGAAAGAGAGTCTCTATTGAAGACCTGGGAACAGATGGAGACTCAGTGGGAAGGCAAGAGACCAGATTGCCTGCCTCTGATTTGGCATCTCTAAAGTCAGTGCAGCAGAGTTAGTTTAAGCCATCTTGAAGCTGGACCACCAAAGTCTCCTCTAAAGCATGTAAATATAGAGGAGGAAGAGGAGGAATGTATGCTCCTTGAGGCAAGCCTCTAGCATAGACCTGCTGAGCACACGTGTTAGATGGGAGTGGAGGTAGGGATAAAGGGGATTGAAACCCATGCAGGATACTTGAACCGAGAGTGGTGCCAGTGGGATTGCCTGGTGATGCATGGTGTGTGTTTGCACTTGGTTGAGCGTAAATGTTTATGGGCTGCAGGAGTCCATGAGGAGAAAACCTTAGAAACAGAAGGCAAGAGATGGTCAAAGGAACACTTAGGATAAGAAAAGAGGTGGACATAGCTAATAATTAGCTATTTATTGCAATTTAAAGGAAAGTCAAGAAGGTACTTGCCTGTATTAGGAGTGCAAATCCCACCCTAGCCAGAGCCATCAGGAGGGCAGTACACTTGTCAGAGCTGATCTAGGAATACTATTCTTAGACGCAGCAGGTTATTTATTATGGATGATTTAAACCCACATGTCATAATGCATTATCTCAGATACTAGAGGATGAGTCTCATTCCTTTAGTCTTACAAAAATGTCCTCCTTTCTCTGCTATCAAGTATGTAGCTTCTGCCTAGAACAAAGTCTGGCTGGGTTGTTAATTTCCCTTAAGCTTTAACTCGAGTTTAATTTTGAGTTGTGCCTGTATTGTAGAAAGACTGAGAAGTCAAAAGAGGTTGGGGCTCCCAGAGAATAAAAAGTTACCCTTATTCTAAAATTGGTGATCTATGTGCTGACCCAAACCTCCCCATCTGTGGGACAAGGCTGCATTTTTGTTTTTTCACTCCAAATCTGGTGCCCACTTCCCTAGCATCTCCACTAGTATCTTCTAGAAATATCTACAATATTTTCTATTTTTCATATGTAGCAGGATGGAGCAGGCAGCAGCCTCACTTGCTGCACAGCAGGATAACCAGAATAATGTCTCTAGCAAAAAACTGTTGAACCCAAGATCTTTTTAAGAAGTATCTTCTTTCTGAGAACTTTCACAAGTGCTCTTCACCAACTAGCTCTACTTAAAAGCTAAACAGGCAGTAACTGAGGGTAGAAAACAAAGCTTGGGCCACATATGCAAGGACTAAAGAGCTGCAAATGGAGTGTTGGCATCTCACAAGTGACCTGTGAGAAGATGGGAGATGCTGAGGAGCCATCACAGTTGTATGAAACAGTTCTTTAAGTCCCTGCATGGTTCTTAGCCCAGGAGAAGCTGGAGTAAGGGGTGTCTGGTGACAGTTTAGTTTCCTGAAAAAATCAACCTGTAAGATTGGCCCAGAATTGGGAAGTCTGGGGAAAGAAGCATAAAGTTAAAAAGTATGTTTCAGGATGGATGAGCTTAGGGTTTCAACTTTACATTTCCATGTGGCCTTTGTGAGCCTACAGTCAGGAGCTTGTGTCCAAGTATGCTGAGAGTGGGGATGGGGCCAGAGGACCCTGATGGGAAGACCTTGAACAATCAGACATTGTACAATGCTGACTGTCTGCAATTCTGATCAAGAACTGTAACAAATCAAAGTCCTGATAAAAAGCCATATAGCACTTGGATCATGCAGTGTTATATTGTTATGAAATCTCAGTGTTTGCCAAGTTGGATGCAAGTGCTGGTATTAATGAGACTCACATTAAAAAAAACCCAACCCATGGTTCTAGCTTGTAAAATCACAGATAGGCTTAGAAGTGTTTTGAGGAAACAAACATATGTCTCCGCAAACCTTTGTCTTTCTGCTTGTTTCGTTTGGGTTGGTATTTCTCAAGCTTTGCTTGATGAGCATACAGTTTAAACTTTTAAATAAGAAAGAAAAAAGGTTTTAAAAAACCCCAAAGCTGATGCCTTCCTAAGGTGACAGCATGGAAGCCGGAAGCTGGCAGCCCTTCCAGCATGGAGGCAAAGGCAGGCTGTAGCTGCAGCGCAGGCGGTGCATTCCCTGGAGTGCTTCCAGGGATGGGAACACAGCGATGCCGGGGGAGGACCAGGAGGGGAAACAGCTCATCAGATGTGCCGGTGAGTCAGCTGGCTTGGGACTGGCTTTGGACCACTTGCCATAGAGACCTGCAGCCAGGAATGACCCAGCTCCAGCAGTTGTCTTCTGTGGGGAGGTGGCCTGTGGCTATGAAACAAGGCTAGGAAAGGCCAAAAAATAGTGTGCCTATAAAGCTATTTATATTCTCAAAACGAAGAAATATAATGTGGAATATAGTAGAAAGTGAGAGGGAATATATGGTACCCATATAGCTGCCACTGCAGTGCATTCTTTTGAAGATTATGAATATTAAGCAAATTACAAAGAAAATACAAATCTCCAAAGAAAGAGAAAGGGGAGAAAGAGAGGAGAGCAAGAAAAGAAAGAAGGGGATTTTTTTTTTTTTTTAAACACTGGTATCAGAACATACTTATCCTTTCCTGAACTGCCCTGGTGGGATTGCAAGAGATTTTGCAGTACTGATGCAGCAGGCTGGTGATGTATCAGTCCTTTTTACTTCATGCTGGTCAGATTTTGTAGTACTCATTAAAAGGATCAAAACCACACTATAATAATTATGTGAATGTAATGAAAGATTTATTTATTTGATTGTTCCTTCTCCCCCGTAACATGGGCTACATTTACACCCAGCTTGGGTGAGGCAGAGGAGATAGGAGAGTGCACTGAAAAATGTAGAGGTGATAACATTTTGGACTCTTGACAAATGAGACTTTAAAGACCCCAAATAAGTTGCTGCATGGCTCTGCTGTAACATGACATTTAGTATGTGTCACAAGTCTTGCTTCAAAATAGAGTCTGCCAACTAGGACAGCACAGGGGGCTTGGCAGAGATAATGGATGGAATGAGACTTCCAGCTGAAGGAATGAAATGGTGAAGTCTGTAATCAAAACGTGAGTAGCATTTTAGGCATGATTGTAAAAGAGTTGGCAGAAAGAAGGCAATGGAAGTTTTGTTTTGAAGGCTTGAGTAAAGAGAAAGCCCAGAATTGTACCTGTACTGAAACAATGCTGAGAAAGGATGCAACGAAGCCTATGCTTCTCTAGACCTGGAGAAAACAGTGTTGTGCTGGTATATATAGGGAGAGAGTAGGGATCCTCACTAGACAGTGCCACAGAGATGGAACAAGGGTGGTCCATACCTTGGAGAGCTGACCACTGAACCCTGTGGGGACATAAAGTCAAAAGTTAGGGAACAGACTCCTATACTGTAAGTTTGTTTTAATCACCCTTCCCTCCTACAAGGAGCGTCCCCCAGGAGTAGGGAAGGAGGAGAGGAGCAATAAATCAGAAAATGGTTAGGAGAGTTTCTTAGGAGAGAATTGGACTTACAAATACAGCTGTAGTGTTGAATAAGGCCAGGTCAAAGATAGACCATGTGAGGGAATGGGGCCTGTTTTTGGAGTAATCTGCTCTAGGCATCACATTTTTGTCAATGCAGAGAGTGGTTTGTGTTGCCTTACCGTGGACTTCTGCAGTAGGCGGCATAGTTGTCCCCCATGATGAGCTGAATTACCAAGCCAGCTGACCAGGCAGGGCAGGGAGCATCACTCACAGGCAGAGAAATGTGTGCTTAGCTCCACCGAGCAACCTAGGTACACATCTGAGCTCTGGCTGCCCACAGCAGGAATCAGACTGCTTTCCATTTCAGAGATACCGCCTGGCTCATTCAACTCACACACCAGCATCACCTCTGTCTTGACTGAGTTTATCCAGTTGGCTCCTTCTTATTGTATTTTCTCTTCTGTGTCAATTAGCACCTGGAAAAGTGGAGGTAATATTGCTCTTGGCCCCCATGGGTGGAGATAAGCAAAGGATTTAATTTCAAGGGGCTCATTTGGGACTTCAGAACTCAAAACACATAACAGCAAGTCACCGCTCTAGAGGTGTCCACAACTTATTGTGAACCAAAAAGGGAGAGACTAATACTGTCTATAAGGTGCTACTGTGGGACTACAGCAATGTTTGCTTTTCTCTGAATGTATGGCAAAGATGTTTGTGTCTAACATCTCTTCATTTCCAGCTGAAAAATGATCCCTCTTCTTCCCTTCCACTTGCTCAAGGTGCTACCAATGGGGAAAAAAAAAATCAAGTGAGCATCTCTGTTACAGATAACTTCTCAGTATTAGGGCAAAAACTGTCAATAAGGTTTATTTTATACAAAACTGTATATAGAAACCATATCTTTTAATTGCTAGACTTATGATGTTAATTTGTAATGTTTCTAATTCATGCAGGAGTTATAATTAAGAGAAAAAGTGGAGAAATTCCATGCCCATTGGCAGTTGAAGCCTTTGCTGCTCACCTTAGCTATATCTGCAAATATGATGACAAATACAGCAAGTAAGTAAGAATATGTGCATGCGTGTGCGTGTTCCTTTCACAGCTTCTCTGTTGCTGCAATGTTTGAGTCCTCCATGTTGAGCTGCAGCTAGGACCCAATCCTGCTTTCACCGAGCCTTGGACAAAACTTCAGTTTAAATCAAAGATCAGAAGCTGTCTCTGCACAAGGCTGTTGTTTTGACTCTATCATCTCCACATCCACCAGTCAAAAAGAGATGTTGAGAAATAGGTCCTTAGCATCTTGTAAATTACTTTTGAGAAGTGTTGGGAGGATAAGCCAGCAAGCTGATGCTCTTGGCCACGTCAAATTGAAGGCTAAATAAAGAAGAGCTCTTCAGCAAGAGTAGGCTCTTCAGCAAGAGCCTACCAGCCCCACAAGTTTCTCAGGCTAGCTCAGCTCTCCACCTCTAGCAATAGATGGTGTTTACTTGATTATCTGTCCTGGTGACATTAGTGTCACCTGGAGCCAGAAGAAAAAAGACATTTAGTTGTGCCTGTAAACCTGATCTACATGATCTGAGAGGGCAGAATGTAGAACTTTTGTCTTCTGAATTCCAGTTGGGGTCTTCAGTATTAGCTCTTAATGTAGCAGGGAGAAACAGAAATGAGTAAGAATAGCAGTGGTAAGGCTTGGTTGTGGGAATAGTGATGAGGTGCAGAAGATTTCCAGAACTAAAAACTGAGGAGAGAGAAAAAGCAGCACAGATTTTTAATGCCAGTTCTGGGCAAGGCTGCAAGAATTCAGTAGAATATATGAAAGAGGAGGAGGTGGTTGCTGGAGAACGGTACTGGGATCTGATCTGAGGAAATCAATACGGAAAAGAGCTGAGGTAGTAGATTTAAATGGTTAATAAAAAATTAAAGTAGGAAAGTGGGAAATCTTATGACTGAAGAGTGAATATTCTGGCAGTCTTAGAATGAGTCAGAACCTAAATATAAGGATGTCAGTCCTTTCTACTTCTGCCTTATAGAGCAGTGCTCCACATACCACCACTGTACACTCTGGCTCTACCCCCACATCCTCCCACCTACTGTTGACAGCAGCAGAAATCATTCTTTGCTCACAATAAACATGAAGAGAAGCATCAGCAGGCTTCCAAAAACTGTAACATAATGTGCCTGCGGCTTTTTTTTTAGTTGCAAATTGGAGGGATTCAGACCCACAGCTCCATTCACATGGATGTTTGTCGTGGGTAAGCTCTAGGAATCTTTATCAGTACTCTTATTTAAATGGAGTGGTACAGAGGTGAGAGTGTTGCTGAAGCAAGCTACTTGCAACTTCTTCAAGCTCAGAAGAGCTTCTGAGAGCAAGGAAGTCTGTTCTTTTAGACATTACTAGAAATTTCCAAAATTGTGAAAATTAGCTGTAAATGACTGTCGAATACATTGTACAAAATTTCTTAAAAAGATACTTGAACTAAGTTTGAAGTCCCAGGTCTGCGTCTTCTTTCTGACTGCAGGATGTTTGTCTTAGGTTATTTCTTGCATCCCAGCTGCAATTGTTTGGCTGAACAGTGCTTTTCCCTCCTCTCTTGGCTTTTTAGGTATTTCATTTCTCACAAACCAAACAAGACCTGGCAACAAGTATTCTGGTTTGCCATCAGCATCGCCATAAATAATGCCTACATCCTCTACAAAATGTCAGAGGCCTACCATGTGACAAGGTACAGCCGCGCACAGTTTGGTGAGAGACTTGTAAAGGAGCTTCTGGGCTTGGAAGACACCTCACCCTCCCATTGATGCATTGTTCCTGGTGGCATAGGCAGGGGCTGAAGGGTAAGCAGAAGAAACCACACCTGGAGCAGCAAAGCAAGGAACTTGTGACACCACCAGTGCTGTCATCCGAAAATGCCAAGTGATGCCACTAGAGAGGTGGAAACTTTGTTCCCAGTAGCAGCTGGATGTAAACATGTCGTGCAGAAAGTGCCACTGGAAAAGCTGACACAAAATTGCATATGTGAATGCCCTGTGGGAATCTGTACACCCAAAACCGACGTAAACTAGTTGTCATCTCAATACTATTTGTTGAACAGGGTCATCTTGTAAAGTTACTCTTGGGCCAGGAGCTTGTCATAAGCTGGCATAGCTCAGCAGTCCTAGACAGGTATTATGGAAAACTCTATACCGTGCTTGGAGTTACGAAATTCTGGGACAAGCGATGTAAGTCTGCACCATGGGCTGTGGCTGGGAGTGCCGGCCATCCCAGGGCGTCGCTGCTGTCTTCCCAGTGTGATAAACAGAGCAGTTCAGATACATGATCACTGAAGCAAGCATATTGACAAACAAAACCTTCACAGGCAGACAGCCAGGAACCGAGGACCAGTCAAGATTTTTTCTTTCTGTGTTTTTTTTTTTTTCCTGTTTCTATTAACGTCATGTAAGGCAATTTGATCCCAGTTAGTACACAAAAAAGTTAGGAGAAACCAAATACATTAGTGAATTTAAAATGAAAACACATTATATTGGTTTTCTTTTATAACCAGGACAAAACATTTTATACACAAACACACAGTGATTAATACTGTAAGTATTAACAGGGAGTAAACCATTAAGTAATACTGCCTCACATCTTAACTGCCACGGTCAGTGTACAGGTGAGAATTTCAACTCTATCTTAAATGTTGCTTGAAAAGATAATGTAATGGACTGTAAAGGTTTTAGGAACAACAATTTCTTGCTTTTTCCTTTGTAACTGTCAAGACTTTTTTGGTCAACTTTAGAACTCCATTTGACACACAGTTGGCAGGAAAAAAATAAGTCACTAATAGCTGTGTGTTTCCCATTATCACTGTGGTGCGTTCTGTAGGAATTCTTTTTGTTAGAATTCAGGGCTTGTTATGGTAGCTGTAATAGAGCAGATTACATGTTTAGCAAAATAACATAGCATTGCGTTTTACAAAAAGAAGTCCAGTTGCAACCAGACCTTAAACCTCACTAAAACAGAGCAAGCCCAAAGAGTTCTTCTGTTCTTAGTAACACTGTAGAGGACAAGCATCGTCGTGAGCTGGTGGCCAAAGCTGAAATGCCACGTTTTGGTGCTGGTGGAATCTGAAGGCCACTCGAGCTTCAGAAAACAATACCAAAAGAGAGAGGTATGATTGAAACAAGGGAGAATCGATACTGAAGTGAAATGCTACCCTGCCCTCTACCCTTTATTGATTTCAGTCCACAACTCAATCAGCAAAAAACTCCGTGTTCTAAAGGTTAGCAGTGATGAACACAAACAGAATTGCATTAACTTATGGGGCAGAAACCATGTTGCTTAGAGGACCAACTGGTTTTAGGTCCCCAAGCCTGAAAAGTTTTATTGAAGAATGACTTGAGTTGACTCAAGAGGAATGGAGTGATCAACTGATTTACTGATTTATGATTGTAAATCTCACCAGGTTATATGTATCTATCTGGCAAGAGGCAATAGAGGGTAACCGACATGAATTTGAAAACTCCTCAGATTTCATCATTATGCGATGTGCAAATGCATAGCATGTAAATAATAACAGAGAGAGAATCCAGCAGGGGTTAGTAAATTAACGACTAGCCCATAGAGTATCATTGCACTGATACCTTTCTGTTTCCACCAAAGTCTTATTTTTTGGAGCAGACTTAGATCTCACCTGGTTGCGGGAAGAGTAAGGGAATGGCCAACTCCTCAGTGGTTTTGCTTGTGATACAGCCTGGAGCCTGTCCCACACGTCCTGCTCTGCCTTCCAGCTGCACAGTGTACAAGAGCGGGATTCCTAAGAATCCCTTTTCGCTTCTCAGTCCACAGGGTCTGCTCCCAGGAAACACGTGAGAAAGGACAAAACCTTGTGCACTGAGGCCTCCTAGCCTCAAAAGGAGGGAGAAGGTTTGTACCACTCTAGTCCTTGGCAATGCCAAGCTGCATAGGAACCCAGGGAGGAGTTCAAAACTTCTTAGCCCCACAGAGAACTGAGACCACCCCTCTTTGGACTGTGTGTGATAGCTGGTTCTTGTCAGTCTTGTAAGTATTCAACCAGAGAGAAGAGCTAGCCCGAAGCATGAAAAACAAAAGTTCAGCAATATAAAAGACCACAGTTTCCCTTTTCAGGAAATTTCACAGAGGTACCAAAAGGCAAATGGTGTTCTTATTGCTCCCTGCTTCAGACAATGCCAGCTGATATTGGATCAGGAAAAGTAGCAAATAATTCATTACATCCCATAAATTTATATGGTAGTCAAAATTGGGGCAGTAAGGAAAGGTCTCTGGCTGGAACTTTGCTGATGGGATGTCTTGAATGAACAGTATCTGCTTCCTTTCCTTCCCCTGCCATGCTGGAGCTTTTGCAGGGTACCTATACCCCCAGCAGAGATGGGGCGGTTTGCAAGACCACCTTGGAGCCACTTGGCATTTCTGAGGAGTAGGCAGAGCACTCTCCAGCTGTATTGTGGGCCCCTGGGATAAATCTGGAGCCTTTGGCCAATTGTTAAATTACTATGTATGCTTAAAGGCCTGGATCTAGGCCGTCCCATACAGGAAATGCCTTTTCTTTTTCAGGTGAAGTAGGCCTGAGGCCTTGGAATATTTAATTTTTCACTAATGTATTCTGTTAATTATGTGGATTACTTGAGCTCAAATCATGAGGTCCTAGCTTTTTGCCTCAGGGACTGGGTCCTGAGTAGTTTTCCCTAGAATTGGTGTTGACGGGGGATTACACAGTGGCTGACTATTACAGGGAAGATGCTTAGGCTCCTTTGTAAAGGAGAAAAATGAAAACAAAATTATAGCTTTGCAATGAATTTCATTTTCTTAGCCTTAACCATCCCTCATCATTCTGAACTGGTGTCCTAAACATGCACAAACATTCCATAAGTAAGCAAAAATATTTATATATATTTATATGTACAAAATGCCTGAATTTTGGCTCTTGAAGCCAACAAGCAAAAGCCACCAAAGCATAGCGTAGATCCACAGATGACTCTTCCCCCTCATCTTTTCCTTTTATTGACTGGAAGTGGATAGGGTTGGGGAAAGTTAGGATTTCTGCTTGTTGAAAAAGCATCTTGCACTTTCTCTGTTACTACAACCAAGGCAAAATAATTAAGGAAGAAATTGAATAATTTTTAGAAGGCTAAAGCTTGTTAACTGCAGCTCAGCCTCTGTAGCATTTCCTTTACTGCAAACTGGCTTTCTCAGATTTGGTTCCCCACCTGCTCATAATATTAAAGCTTCTCCCTAGTTAAAGGGCGGGGGGAGGGAGGGGAAGTTAGTCTCAAAGTAGTGCAAGGATGCTAGTTATAGTGTGTGTGTCTAATTGTGCAGTGACTTGTGAAATGATAGTTTGGTTTGTTTGGGGGGCTTTTTTGTAGCCTTAAGACAATCTGGGTAAGATGGTAAAACTCAGCAGTAGATGAAATGCAGTGGAAATGCCAGCCAGGTCACAGAGGAATGTCACTAAACTTTCTCAAAAAAAAAAAAAAAAGGTTTGATGCTGAAGGAGCCATAGGAGCACAGCATGGCTCGTTTCTCTCCTGCTGAATTGAATTTTCATTCACAGGTACTTCTGAAAAATGATAATGACTTATTTATGGTATGCAGACTTTGTTTCAAAGAACTGAGACCATTGGTAAGACATACTGATCACCTTCTATGCACAGTACTTTCAAGAAATGTCTGTCATGCCACGATCCATTCTTGGAAAACATTTCTTTTCCCAGTGTGATATAACACTCACTAGAGCTTGGAAGTCACTGTGAAGTGGTTTCCATTGTTGTCTCAGTTGAAAAATGCTTCAAGGGCTTGCAGAAACTCTGCCACTTTTAACTTCAGCCCGTCTGTGCACTTGACACTAGGGCACAATATAAATAGATCTCATCTCCATTTTCTGTTTCTATTCTATAGAAACTCTTCTACGTTTACAAGTAGTCCAAGAATCCTAATTTGTAGAAGTACAACTTTGTTTCCTTCAGGTAATCCCTAGAGAAAAATGAATTCAGCTGTTTCCAGACTGACATTAAGGACAGCAACTCAAAAAGACCATTCCCATTCTTTATCTCCAGCTGTATTTCTGTGGCCTTTTTTTGGTTTGTTTGTTTTTTGTCTAGAGAGGTTACTTTTTACTTTCCTTCTAACATTTATTTAGGAGTCTGTCTTTAACTGGTGAGTAGTGAAAGAAGCCTCCAATATCTTATTCTTACATGCCTTAGTCCCCTAGTCCTAGAGCTGATTTTAGGGATTACGCTGCACTGATAATTCTGTGCATCTGTGGTACTTTCCAAGCAAGGATTGCAAAGTGCTGTAACAACCTCAGCACTCCTGAGACATCATTAGCTTCTCAAACAGGAGCTTCCCCTTTCTTAATCAGACGCCAAGGCACAGCACAGATAAGGGGGGTGATGAAATTGTAAAGTGGAGTTTGCACTTCTGTGATTAAGGCCACGTTCTGCATTTTCAGCAACTTGGTTCTTGTTCAAATGCACTTTTCCAAACTAGAAATGAAAGCATGCCAAATATCATTCTCCCCCTGAAGTAAGGGCTGGGGGACTTAGCACAGGTTCCTTCATACAGGCCAGCATGTATGAGTCAAAGCCAAGTTGCACTGCAGGTAAGAAAAAATGTGATAAAACATAGGAGCGCAACCAGTCCAGAGGAACTTAAAGGAGATAAATGGAAAATCTGAAGCTCTACAATAGTCCAGTCACCAGTGTGAAATTCAGACAAAGAATTACTGAGTTGAGAAAAGTCGGTGAAGCTTAGATGGAATATGAAGTCTTCCATCCATCTCTGTTGTGGAGTTTGCCATGGCACTTTCTTCTTGGTAGGACTGGTGTAAGATTGGTTGTAAAACGAACTCATCTCAATCTGATTGAGAAAAATATTCAAGTCTTGAAGGGCTGTTGTTTCACAGAGACAATGAACTCTTAAGCTCAAAACAGGTATATATTTGACCTGCTATTAACTAGGATATTCGCACTGACAGATCACATCATCTCCTCAAATGCAAGCCTGTCGCCAGTGTTACTTGATATATATTCATTCTTGTAACAATTCTTCCCTAAGATACCTTTGTTTCCAGAAGCATTATGAACTGGAAGCACCCCTGTATCAGAATCATCATCATCATCTCACTTCCTCAGTTAGGAACAGCTGTGCTTTGTTCAGAAAGAGTATCTTCCTCTTCTTCTGAGCAAAAGCTCTGTCTCTTCAGAAATGTAGCCCTGGAGAAGTTTCCTGCCCTGTGTTTTCCTTTGCTTCCCTCATTCCATGCATTTAAAGCACATCCAAGTCATCCTGCAGGTTCTTGGTCAGTCTGGAAGAGTTGACAACACAGAGTTGGCCCTTCAGTTTATATTTATAGCATTGCTTTGCTGGCCCTTTTTGCTATTTTGCAAATCTCAGATGAAACAGGGTATTGTTTCTGAAGCCTGTACTGATTGCAATCACTGTGAGGGTGTTGCCTGCTTTGCCCCATTAGTGCTGCCCCATCTGTGTGGGCACAAACCAGTTACCAGCACCATCACACCCGCTGCTCCAGCTGAAAAGGCTGTAACATTCCTCAGCTTTGGATCATTGTCAGAGAGGGGCCTTGACAGGGTCTGGGGAGTCTTTTTGTGTTTTGTTTTGTTTTTAAACCCTTCCGCTCTGATGGGTCTGGTGGACAGCTTTTAGGCATCACAAAAAGGCCTTAAGTGGTAAACCCCTTTTGTATCACTTTTCTGAAGTAATAATTACTTGTATGAGATGTCAAGGTGGTCCACATGATCTGTAGTGCAAAAATCGTACCCGTGAAAGATCATTTGCTCTAACTGAACAACCCTTGAACGCCTGGGTGACCTGGATCAAGCACCTAGTGGGAGAGGACCATCATGCCTTGCTTTAGGACCACAATATGTACAGCCTGACCAGATACACAAATGGGGAAAAGAGATAAGTGTGATTTGGGATCCAAGCTCCTTGGACAAGCAGACTTCATAGTCAAGATAGTCTCAGAAGTTTTTCTAAGGAAGGCAAGATGCCAGGCCTATGCAGTTTGCTCCCAGCCCTGGCAACTCTGTTTCAAAAATAAAGAATCTGGCAAATACTTTCATGCTTCAAGTACTTTACAGTGTGCTCTGTACTTCAGAGTATTTTGGCCTATTTCCAGTAGTTCCCAAAAAAAGCCTAGAAATTGAAAAGCAAAGCACAGTACACTAGGTTCAGCTGTCCAGAACCTCAACCTGCTGGTGTCAAAGTAAATTTATGGTCTTGTTCTCAGTCTGTGTCAAGGTGTACGCAAAACACGACTGCTGAACAATATGCACGTCTCTATGAAATGGAGTTACTCATTTGATGGAAAACAGTTTGCAGGTGCCTTGGACTTACTTTTGCAACCTGGATTTTTCTTCTAGTTATAAACCAAATCTTTGCCTGGCATTTTAGTCCTGAAATAGAAAAATAGCTTGACCCCATGGTCTGGGTGTGAGATTAGAGATAACAAAACTCAGGTTTAATCCAGAGATTAATCTCATCCTGTAAAGGTGAGGCCAGTCAGCATGGTCTGACATAAGGAGGCATTCAAGAGGAACAGTGAGTTTGAGGAGGCAGAGGAAACTTCAGAGGCTGGGTATGTGGAGGGAGAGGAGCCAGGTGATCCCTTTAACTCTCATCATTCCAGCATGTGTACCCCCCTCCCCTGCCACCTTTGAATTAAAAAGAAAAGGCTGATGTTCAACACAAACAGTCCTGCACAGCTGCTTTAGCAACATAAACCCTGCTTTAGCTACATCCCTGGCCTCACTCTATGCCTTTCCTTACACTATCCATGATCAGTACTTACCAACCTTGGAGTCACAGCACTGCTGCATGTCAGCACAGCATGGAAGCAACAGACTGTGGAAGCACCACAGTAGAAACAGGAACAATGGGGATTCTGGAGAAGGAATCTCCCCCTCAGTGTTTTGTTTTCATTTATTTTCAGTGTGTGCAACTTACATTCCATCAAATGCAGTGACAGTTCCAAACATGAGGATGGGCCTTAGCTGGCCAAGGGCTTTCAAGACCACTGGGCTGTGCTCACACCATCAGCAACTGCAGTTCTGTTGCAAAGTTCCATATTCTTTATAATTCTAGAGATTCCTGTTGAAAGCATAAATTCCAGAGGTAAACCATACACTGCAAATTGCTTTTTCTTTTTTCTTTTTTTTTTTTTTTTTTTTCTTCTTTTTTTAAAACCTTCTCAGAGCAATTTTATAACAGCCAAGTCTTTAAGGAAATGCAGGTGTGTGACCTCTTTCCAGTAAGAGATACACAACTGTATTTCTGCATGGGACAGGGAACTACTTTTGTGACACCGGTTTTGTTCTACACAAAGGCACGCTTGCAATAAATTTTTACAAGTTTTGTACACCATGAGCTAAATTCTGAGTTCCAAAAATGTGAAGTGTGGCAACAATAACAAAATGGATTTATAGTATCACTCTGATATCTTGTCATGTGATTTTATTTCTTCAACAAAGTTTGTTTACAATCAACAACTTTGAAATACAGTCAGATATATTACCGGTTGTTTTTCTGTCTTGTTCTTTTCTGAAATAGATGGGGAAGATGTTTGGTTGTGCTCTAGGTGTGTAGGTGGAGGCATGTAGAGAATATACTGCAAGATAAGTTACAGGTTCACACTCTAAGACCATTAGAGGCAAAAGCCTAGGAAATCTTTACACAGCCATTTGAGTATTGAGGCATTTTCTTTAGAAAGAACTGAACTTCAAAAGCCTTTCAATGTAGTCTGCACACAGGCGTAGGAAAGGGTGCCACTGTCCCCATCATGCCCCCCAACACCCACAAGCAGTGCTTCCCAGCCACCTCAGGGCAGGGTGGACACAAGGACACGGGTGGCTGTCCCAGCTTTCTGATATCTCTGCTGAACAGGACCAGCCCTTTGTGCCTACTGCTCCGGCTCTTCCTGGTAAGGTTTGTCTGTACCACTAGTGGCACTCACTGAAACCATGACCTGCACGCCAAATAGGTGGCATTTGCAGGCAAAACCAGACGTGTGATCCGTGGATGGCCACTGTTTCACAGCTCCAAGTCGGCAAGTCAGCAGGACCTGGTTTAAACCTTAATTACTTAGGGAGCAGAAGTCTCACAGGAGAACATGTAAGTGGGGGTACACAGTGGGTCTCTGTCAACAACCACAATAAAATGTCCTCCACACCTTGGGCCTGTGTCCCTCATTTCCCTGTGGCTGCAAAGCCTCTGATGGGGACCAGGCTGCCCAGCACCTCCAGGTGTGTGCAAGTGTGGCTCAACACTGACCTCTTGCCTTGGTCTGTCGGGCAGCTGCCATGTCTGATTTGCTCAGGGTGTTTCTTCACATCATCTTGTGTTTTCCACATGAAGACATTTAGTTTTGTGCCTAAGTTGTCCTAAGAAAAAGCCAGATTTTCTGGGAAAACAAAACATCAAAAGAAGCAATTAGTAGCAAGCCCCTTGAGCTATCTGACATCTCTGTGGACCCAGTCCCCAGGAGGGGACTATTTTTCTGAAGTTGCTCAGTATCAGAATAGGGGAGGGCAAGCTGTTCAACACAGCCAAGATCTCAGAAATCTTTTCAATATGTAAGTAGCTGCATTGACAACTCTTAATATGCTGGTCTGAAAGACAGTCTGGACCTTTCATACAATCAGCTCCTTCAACAAACAGGCTCCTTTTCTCCTTTTCTGTGGATTTTTCGCACCGTGACAGTCCATACTGAGTAGCAGGGGAGAGACCCACAGGTTTCTGCTTTGAGATGTCACATCCAAGATCAAGAAGGGATCAAACTGCAGTGCTTGCCTGCAGCACAGAGTGGAGGTTGCTCATCCCAAATGAGTGCAGAGGCTGGGAACATGGATGTGCATCATTAGGGTGATGGATTGGCATTAACATTGCCCGAGGGGGTGTCAGGGCTCCCCGGGATATGAACAGCCACACATGGCACAGCACCTGCACTGCAGGTGGCTCCACACATCACTCCATGGGCTTGCACAGCAGGAGGGACCTGAGATGATTACAAGCCCCTGCAGTGAGACCAGCCACACACCAGTCGGGATGTTCAGCTGTGCCACAAACCAAGTGAGAATTTCTCTGAGTTCTCTGTCGTGGTTGGAGTTGCCCCCAGCAGCACAGTGCTTTGCTCCCTGGACGTGCCCGTGACCAGAGCTAATGCTGTGTGTAATCAGGCCAGATGATCAGAGTTGCAAGAAGCAATGGCAATCATCTTTAACACACTAATTGAATAAAAGAAGGAATTTAATTTGTGAAATCGTGAAATCCAGGATCTGATTGACACAGAGACACACACACAGACACATAACCTCAACGCTGTCATTGAAAACACTGCCATCCATTCAGATCAGGCCAGGGCCTGCACTAACTCAATCTCCCACAAAATTATTCTCAAGAGAATTTGCAATTAATAACTCCAACAACGTGGTCTTTCTTAATTAAGCCAAACTTAACATTTCCTTTTGCAGTGTTTTCTAATATCCTGTTCCACTTGTACCTCCATCCCTAGAGAGGAACAAAGAGAAAAAAAATGCCAAGTTGCAGACACTGCAGAGAAGGACATCCCCAGCTGTTACTAAGTCAAAGCACAGGCTCTCTTAAGGCACCTTCACTCAAGCCTTGATAAAGCACTTTACAGGCAGTAATGAATGGCATCTCATCAGACCCCTGCAAAGCAAAGCCATCTTCACTCTCTTCAGAGACTCTCTCCATTCTCCAGTTTCCTTAGATTACAGCACAGCCACAGTTTTGTCTTTAGTAATGAGAGTTTAAGAAATCAAAATGCAAACAGGTGATGAGAATTGAGGGGCCAGAAACCTCTCTCCCTCCTCTGATGTTCACAGTTCCCCAGGTGAGGGCTTGGGCAGGATCCTTCAGGAACACTTGCACCAGAGATAGTGGCATGGGATTCATGAATTTTACCAGGGCTTTTTTGTAGAATATGTTTCCTGTTACAGGTTTTACCTGGGAACCCCCAGTCCTTCCTTCATGCAAGAAGCAAGAGCAGCAGCAAAGCAGGTTTTCAGACTCATGGGAATTGGCGATCCACAAACTTGGGTGGGAATCACCTCCCCTCAGCAGAGAGGCTCACCTCCTGCAGTGCAGTCCTTGTCCCACACTGGCCTGTAGGTGGCTGGTACTAACTGTGATGTGAACACACTGAGGTGCAACAAATATATGCCCTTTTTTTTTATTCCATGACTCAGGGCTGGATTGCAACCTCACCCTGAGAGTAGCTCAGTTACTTAAAACTTGGCGCTAATAGTGCCAAGGTCAAAGGCTCAATATCTGTATGGGCCATTCACTTAAGAGTTAAGACTCGCTGATCCTTGTGGGTCCTTTCCAACTCAGAATATTCTGTGACTCTGTTAAAGAAGGTTTAGATGCTCCTTCTGCCAAATTCAGACTCCCCAAGAACGACAAGGCAGGATTCAAGATGGTACACTTTGGGGAAATGGCAAAGCAAACCTCTTCAATCTCTCCTGAACAGACACAAAATTTAAAACCAGCCAGAGACAATGATGCCAAATAGTATTCCCCAAAAATGGAAAGTTATGAAGGAAAGTGGAGGAGAGGAGAGATTTGTTTGCTGTGAATAGGATTAGCATCTGCAGGCAGACACACCAGAATAAAACTTGCAAATCACCCTCAGGAACTGGAAAAGTTCATTGCCAACTAGTCTATCTGTATCTCAAAGCCTTTTAACACTGGAACTGTTGGAGATGATAGACAAATACCTGAATTACTGTACATAGTCATCTCAAACATTTGGGCTGAAAAAGCTGATCTCCAAACATAAGCAACTGTATCCCCACACAGCCACAGAAGAGCGTCCCCATCCAACACTCACAAATTAAAATGTAGTTCTGTACCTGTCAGTGTCTCTCCAGTGTGTGTGTGCTGTTCTTCACACTGACTCTCCAATTCATCTCTTTTTCAGTCCTCTCCATTACTGTGCCCAACAACCCACTATCACCTGGCTCAGAGCTACTTCTGAGATCAGATGGAGGAGAGGCATCTCACCAAGTAGCTCAGCGTAACATCAGCATAGCATTTTTGTGTTCAAATAATCACCTTTTTTTTTGCTCCTCTCCCATGATTAATATCAAGCAGATAGAGCACTGCTGTGTTCAAAAAAGCAATTTCAAAAGTGCCACTGCAGAGTTCCACAGTTTGTCTTTTCAGACACCAGATAATGTCAGGTATTTACTAAACTGAACACGGATGATCACCCACAGTTTGCAGCCAGACTGAGCAATCAGTGCTATTAAATACTGCAGGTCAGGGTTAATAAACTTACTAAAATAGGAGAAATACTTGCACTTTTAATGAAGAAAACCTGCTACTGCAGCCAGGGGCTTGGTCTGTGTGATCCTGGACTAGAGAAGTTCTGAAGTATCTGAAAGATACTGAAGTAGCTGATACTTCAGTATACTGAAGTATACTGAAATCTCCCCCAGATACTTCAGATACTGATCAGATATCTGATACTTCAGTAGGACTCAGACCAGCTGCTAAACATCTGTAGCCCTTATAGGGGTCTTGGCTAGTGCAATAAACTGACTATAATAGACAATTATATGTAGATAATTATTATACGTAATCATCCATATCCAGCAGCATTCTCTTGCCAGGGATGACAGCACCCAATTTCAAGGCGTGGTGTGCTAAAGTGATTTTAGAAGCTGCTTTTATACTGAATAAAATATATCTGCCTTCTCCCTGGCCTGGAGTGAGTACTCACACAGCAAGCACAGACACTCAAGTGGGCTCAGTGTGTGCCAGCAAGAGCTTTCTATTGTTCATATGATAAGCAAAATAAATCCACAAACTTTTTCCCAGTGTCCACCACACATACGATCCGTCACTCGTGATGTGTCCAATAACGTCACCACCAAATTGCAATGGAAACATCTATAGAGCGGTGGTTCAGCAGGCCAGCGGTAAATCACATATCATGAACAGCTTGCAAAGCACTAGGATGGAGTGCTTTGATTGCTTTGCAGCGCCCTGATTGCTTCCCAAAAGAGCAGCCTGCAGCAGGGATGACCAGGCACCCACTGAGCAAGGGAGACCAGGTTCCAAACAAAACTGGGCTGCAAGGGAGCTGCCCTGCTACAGCCCAAATCTGAATGGTGCTGGAAATCCTGTCCTGTGCTATGTAGGTGGGGGCCCAGCCTCACGCCTGTGCATCAGGTTTAACTACCAGAGATATGCCAGATCAGCCAGACCGTACTCTTCTCCCCATGCGCTTTCCCTACCTGTTGTCTCCTTGGTTTTATGCCCACTGGGCCCAAGCAGCTCTGCTTCTGTGCTGCAAATAACCAAATCACTCTTATGCTACCCAAGAGGGAGAAAACTGGAACAGAAAAGAGACAAAGAAAGAACTTCCTCTTACTGTTTCTTTTCGAACAACGAGGAGCTATTTATAACATGGTTCGGTTCATTGTTGCGCGACAGCAGTGCCCTTTCCCAGCTGACAGAGCCTCTCTAGCAATGACAGCCTCGCAGTAGCCTGCAGGATTTTATTGCCTGAGGTAGCTTAACCCAGTTTCTCATGTGGATAATGAAAATCAGCAGTGGATGAGATTTAATGTGGCTGCTGTTCTTCAGAATCCTATGCAAAGGTCGAAGCACCCAGGAACACATGAGCATCTCTATCTCCTTAGGACAGATTTACTCAAAAATGGGTGATTGCAAAGCTCTCTTCTCTCACTGTAAACAAAGCATAACACCTTATCTGGAATCTGGGAGATTTACAATTAGGTTCAAAAGTTTCCCTTCCCTCCTGTCAGCACCTCAGGACTGTGTGATAGAGGCAGTTAGCAGAGAGCAAACTGCTCCATAGGCAGGTGACCTAAATCCTGCTTTGCCAATGATGCTGCAGGGCACTGAGGAGGTTTGTGTGCTGCCTTCCCTCTCCAGCAGTTAGTTGCTCCAGGATGCTTTCACCCCCTGGCAGGCCATCCTCTCCATCTGGAGTAATGCAACTGTTCCACAGTCCTCAGGGCTGAGGAGAAATCTCCCCCAGAGAGGGACAGCCTGCAGAGGCACTGGTAACATGGCCAGATGTAACGTGGTAACATGGGTCATGTCCACACAGTATGGCTGAAGGGCCCAACTCTCCCCTTCTTGTTGTCCACCACAGTGCCAGGAAAGGGACCTGGGGGTCCTGGTGGATGTCAAGTTTAATCTGAGTCAGCAGTGCCCTGGCAGCCAGCAGGGCCAACCGTGTCCTGGGGGCATCAGGCAAAGCATCACCAGCCAGTCAAGGGAGAGCATTGTCCCTCTCTGCTCTGCACTGGGGCAGCCTCACCTTGAATATTGTGTGCAGTTTTGGATGCCCCAATTTAAGAGAGATATTAGGCTCTTAAAAAGTGTCCAAAGGAGGGCAATGAAGATGATGAAAGGCCTTGAGGGGAAGCCATGTGAGGAGAGGCTGAGGTCACTTGGTGGATTCAGCCTGGAGGAGAGGAGACTGAGGGGAGACCTCAGTGCAGTCTACAACTTCTCCACAAGGGGAAGAGGAGGGGCAGGCACTGATCTCTTCTCTGTGGTGACCAGTGGCCTGAAGCTGTGTCAGAGGAGGTTTAGATTGGATATAAAAAACCCCTTATTCTTCACCCAGAGGGTGGTTGGGCACTGGAACAGGCTCTCCAGGGAAGTGGTCACAGCACCAAGACTGGCAGAGTTCAAGAAGCGTTTGGGTGATACTGTCAGGCACATGGTGTGACTCTTGGGGATGGTCCTGTACAGGGCTAAGGGCTGGACTCAGTGATCCTTATGGATCCCTTCTAAGTCAGCACATTCGGTCATTGTGAGTGTCCCAAAGAAGCAGCAAGAACAGCAAATCTGTAGGTCTCTGAGCTGCTCAAAGCAGTGGGGAGAAGATGGAGCAGGAGTGTTTTAGGAAAAGGTGATAAAGCATCACTCCTGTGAGACATTTTAGACCTTTGACACCTTCACACAGGCCTTGAGTTTCATGGGATGCTCCTTGGATGGACTCGAGCCTCCCAAATCAAGCTATAGCCAAAGAACTTTGCTGTAACATTGCAGCAGTGGTTGGAAAAAGATGCAGGAGTTGTGTTTGGCATGGCTGCCAAAAGTTAATTAAAACAACAAAAACAAACTGAGGAGAGGGCTGTGCATATGACAGAGTTCATCAGTCGGATCAGGTAGAGCTCGTGCTTATTACATGCGTCAGACCAAACTCCCTGCAGCGAGCTTCCTCTACCTTTCCACCTCCTCAGGGCTAATTTAAGAGCTGTTCTTTGCAGCCCATAATAATAGCGAGAGAGAAAATCAAATTCTGTTCTGCCACAAAGAGGAAACTGGAACAAGGGAACCAGCAGGAAACTTGTCTTGCTGCCATCTCTGGCTTTCCTAAAGAAACTTGTGCTCCAGGGCACCCAGTCACAGAAAACAGAGCTGCCAACAGGATGCACGACTCCAATTCTCCCCACGAGGGAAGCCAAGCTCATATGCTGGAAAAGAAAATGACATTTCCCACAGATAAAAAAGCAGTGGAGTGGTATTTATAGGTGAATACAGAAACAACCATACAGTCCAGCCAAGCCTTTTCTCTGGGATTGCCTTATGCTCAGACAGCCTCTTTTGTATGTACAGCCCCACCCAAATCATTCCTCTGAGGGGCAGGCAAACCTCCCCTGCCCTAAAGGGCCGCCCCTGACAAACCAGAACGCATCAGCACACTATCAGAGCTCTTCACACATTACACCCCCAGCTCAACAACACATTTGGGGCTACTCTTGCTCCAGCCTGTGCGGGCAGAGGGAGCAAGACTGATGTGAGCACCATCTCCAAAGCAAATATTCAGGAAAAGCCAGAATGGAGCAAGCAGGCTAAAAGGGATTTGGGCCCACCCTTTGTGTCCCCCATGAAACGACCTTTTAGTTGGCCAGATCTAAATAAGTGAGTGCCTTTCTTTATTTTTAATCTTTCTGGAAAGCCATTTGATGGTGCTCGCTAGAAGGATATCGCTCACTTCTGCCAGGCTCAGCTCTGCTCCCTGCGAGCTGGGCATGTCTTCAGCCTCATTACCAGAAAATATTTTAATCCGTACAAAATGGATCACAGAAATACAGTAGCACTGGCACTACCAGAACAATGGGGCTGGTTCCCAGTAATCCCACAGTGCAGGGCTTCTCGGGGCAAAAGCCACTTGCCCTTTTTGTCATAACGTGTCTAGAGATGGAGCCCAGGGTGCCCCATTTCGAACCAAGACCCCCTTTGTGCCAGGTGAAGATATTCAGAAGCTCATACAAGCCATTCTACAGGCACTGCTAACAAAGGTCAAAATTTAGATGCAGCATGAAGATCTTTGAATCCAGGCTAATTGCAAATCCCATGGCATGCTTTCAGAACTCTGCATAACTTGTTTTCTTCAGAAGCTCTCAAAGACTGTCCTTAGGGACTTGTACAACGAAGAGACACCAGAATGTCAGATGCCATCTTCTATCTAAGAAGCTACTGAAAATGCAAATACTTTTGGGTTTATATCTGTGGCAGTTTTGAATAGGAATAAAATTCTTAAAATGGTGTATGGAATTTGATCCCCTACTCACAACAAAATACAAAATTATTTTCCTAATCTTTTCTAGACTCATTTTTTTCCCGTATTTCCCCTTTCTTTGTGCAAGCCTGAAATCTGAAAACTTTCTGCAGCCAGTTGTCATTATAACATAAAAATCAACCAGAAACCTTTTCACATTTTATGCAAGAGGTTAAAGGACACCACTTTGTAAGTAAGCTGTAGCAAGAAAGGCAATTTGAAATGAGAGCTGGAGTTGGGATTCTCTACCTGGCATATTAAATACCAGCTGCTTGGACATTACTTACAGCTTACATAGCCTGCTGTCCTCCAAGGTGCTCTGTGCATCCATCCCTGTGTTTGTCCAGCCTCTGGTAAGAGCTACCCAGCACACTTCAGCTGGAAATGGTTAGCCAGCATGGACCAAAGGATGAGATAACCCTTTAACCAATTGCCTAAGGAAAAAACACAGGAATAGGATTAAGACCACGTAGTATTTCCCCCACCTGCCCTTCAAGCTCCTATCAGTCTCTGACTTAGAGACTTCCTCTGGTGCATGTTTACATATTTGCATGTTTTACAGTCCTGTTTTACACTGAAAGGGCTGTCACATCCATGGCACAATTCTCAACAATATGAAATGCTTTTGTCTTCAGCCTCGTACCTGAAAATGTTTTTTCACCTTCTCATTCACTATTTTGCTAAGAGCAGCCGCACATTAACTCCCTATCCATATAGTCCTTACTGTTCATGATCTAACCTCTTCTTGTCAGTCACCACGTCTTTCCAGCTCAAATCAGATGTAGCAAGACATTTCCTGTTACTTGCTGATAAAAAATTTCAAATTAAAAGGGAAAGGAAGTGGGCCATGGCATCCCCTCTGTGCCACTCGGCTTGTAGTTGAGCTACGTCTGCCTTCCTTATTCCATTTTCTCTGTCTCTCAAGATTTAACCAGCATGCTGTGCAAATACTTTGGAATATTCCAGCACGTAATCCTGCTCTGAAAAACAGGAATCATAACAGAGATTCCCAGGTGGACAACCTCCAATTTCTGGAATGTCTCCTGAGCAAACCGACAGACCCTCAAGAGCATTAGTTCAGAACAGCAGCCTGCAAGCACTGCTCGTGGACACCTAGCAGTGTTTTCTTCATTTAATCCAGGAAAAACCCCACCTACAAGCCCAGCACTGATTTACCTTGCCTTGCTGGATCCCTCTTCAGGATCATAGAGCACTGCCTGGCTGTCATTGTCAGAAAGCCCCAACTCCAACATAAGGGGCAAGCATCAGCAGGAATCTTGCACAAGTAACAACCATAAGGGCCTCAACCTATTTTTACCAGGTTTGAGAGGAGGACCTTCATACCTCACCATCCCTCCATCTGCCTTGAGGACAGAGCTCAGGGAACAGCTGTAGCAGTGCATGGTCTGAAAAGCCTGCTTCTCACCTAGTTTAAAAGGTTCAGTCAGTAAGGGGAAAAGTAAAGAAATGACAATCATATTCCAGAAGCTCTGATTCTGTGAAGAATATGTTAAGGAATCAAACACAATTAGCAGACAAAATGGCTGGGAGCTGAAGCTAGAAATTCAGCCTGGAACCAATTATTCATGAAAGCAAAGGTTTACTGGAAGAGCTAACAAAAGAATTAGATCAGCTGAAGAGTAAGATTTCCTAATTCTCAAATTCATCTGTTTATTAAGATTTTAACTTCCTAAATTTTATTTTTGAAAGCTAAATGCCCTAAAAACTTCTTAAAATTGTATCCAGTCTTACATCTGGATATAGAAGCTGGGGACTTGTCACAGATATCGCTGTTAAAGATGTTACAGCTTATGCTGTAGAGCACAGGACAGCTAGATCTCATTTTACCTAAAACTATGAATTTACTGACTTTGAAATACATTCTAAGCTGCCCCTCTGCAGCTGCTTCTCCACATCCTCTCACATTTGTACCTTTCTCTTCCACTTCACTTTCCCCCCACCATCTTTTTTACCTAGACATCAAGATAAGAGTAGGTGTGTCATTTTCTTTTGTATCTCCTGCCATGACAGAAGCCCTGACCCTCATCAGTGACCTAAAGATGGCACCCTCTGTCACATAACTCATTCAGCAGTAAAAAAACCTTCATACAGTTCTGAAACCAGCCAGCAGAGAGCCTAACATTAGTATGGTGTGCTCCCTACCACACAAACTACATGTAAGGTAGAGCATTTTCTTTCCCCAGATTGTCCAAACAAAAGTGTTAAATCCCTTTCTAGTAGGAAACTCCCTATTCAACATTAGCTTGATGCTGAAACAAAGACCTTCATGCAACTTTTTGTGTCTCTTGCCCCATTTCTCCTCTCTTGACAGGATAGGTGTTGCTGGCTTTAGACTCAGATATCAGCAGTGAGGCTGTTTTGGTATAAGCAATAATTATAACTATTATTATTACTAAAGGGATCTCAACAGGAAAGCAAACTAGAACATCCCTCAGCTCAGGTTCTGTTGTGAAAACATAAGGTTTGATTTTATGGTCTAGTTAAGCCAAGCTCAAAGGGCTTTCAGCTACTGAAAGTAACACTTTCCACGTTGTTTTTTACTGGGCTTTTTTTGCCAACCTTCCTTACAACCCCCACCGCCTCACCGCAAGGCATTCCCAGTGCTCCTTCACCTACTGCTAGCTGCACAGATGAGCACATGGCAGTGACAAAACTGTACCCAAAATCTCACAGTGACAAGCAGGGAGTAGCAATACCTGAATAGATGCTGTATCCCACTGCTCCACGGGATGGACAAATGGCCTTTACATTCCACAGGTGCTACAGGGAAGGGAAGTTGAACGTCTTCCCCCCTTGGCTAGTTCTGATTATGACACCCTGCCACTTTGTGCCAACTCCAGCTCTCTTCAAAAAGGTCACCTCAACTTTCCAAGACTGACTTTTTTTTTCTGTCTACCTTGGCCTGCTGCTTTATTCACTTAATAGCCTTGTGGATTTGGCACCAACACTAGCCCAAGGGAGGAGGCAGGATCAGCATTCCTTTCCCTCTCAGCAGCAACAGACAGTCTGGCTCAGCTGAGCATGGAGCTGCCACCTAGGAATCTACCTCACGTTCTCTTCGAAAACAACCTGCTGGACAGGAAGAAAGGTGGTATAAAAGAAAACTGTTTCATGCAAGTGGTGCTCACCACACTACCAGAGCATAACAGACTCTTGGTAGTGATTTTCTAACCCTCTTTTTACCAGATTACCAAAGGTGATGTTTAAGTAATACAGGTTTGGCAGAAATCATAGCTATTTGCTAGTTCCAGATTCTTTTTAAGTAAATTAAAAAAAAAAAAACACACACACAAAAAACCCCACAAAACTCAAAAAATCCTTGGATTAAAAACATCTGCTGGGTAGAAATAGGAACTTGAAATCCAACAGGTCCCTCTTCCTGTATACAGAGCAACAACATGCTGCTGTGCTGCAAGAAATCAAATCAAACTAAAAGAGTATTTTGCACCCATTCAGACAACCTCTTGGAGAGCTCTACAGAGAGAACATCTGTGGACTGACTTTATTCCCAATTTTTAAGCTTGATTACTAGCAGATCTTAAAATAGCTACTGGATACTAAGCTGTAAATAAAATGCGCAGTCTAACAAAAAATGCAACCCTGACATTTGTGCTCATTCTGTAATCATGGCTTATTATCCCAGAGTTTTTTTCAGTGGCTTCTATTCATTTGAAATCACTCTGTACAGGAACAAGCCTCTTGCTAGAGCGTTCTGTAACGAGCTATTGCTATAAAATTATTCATTGTGTTTCAGGCATGAATGAGGACACAGGTGATTCACACATGCTACTCAGGGCCATGTAAATTTTAGAGAGAACCTACATTTAAAATAAATTTAAGTAAGGCAAAGTAGATGACGGTATTTAGATACAAAAATTAAACAAAACAAAAGGTTATGGCTGTAACAACCCAGAAAGGAACTGAACAATGCTCTACAGAATCCACTTCAAGCAAGACAACAGTCCCTTACCTCACGCAGATTACAGCCTTCTAGTATCTCCCAATGTTCACCTTCCTTTCCAAACACACACAGGCATCTTCTTAAAAGTTCAGGATTTAAAATATGGGGGTTTTAATCCATGAAGAGTAAAGATTAAACGCTCCCTGATAAAAGGGATATAAGCACATTTGCTTTTATGCAGTGACAAGCAAGCAGAGTCAACCCACGCAGAAAAAATGGCTAAGAAAAGCATGACCTGAAATTCCAGAAAACGAATGGGGAAAATTTTTTTCAGGGAAACTTACTTGGGTGAAAAGGAAACAATGGAGTTCTGGTCAGCAGTAATGCAACATTTGCTGGATGGTTCATTCAGTCCTACTACTATACTTAAGTGAGAACAGTGGGCACAGGAAATATGTAAGACTCCAGGCAGAGACATTAGAGATAGACTTCTACATTTAACATCGGATTAGATTAAAAGCTTCTATTGCCAGAAGCCTGTTGCAATTATCTTTTAGTATCACCTGTCAACTCCTGGGTGTAAAAGGGCATTTAAGATGGAGAATCCTCATTTAAATTCTCAGATAAAATCCGCAGATGCAAAGGTGTTTCTTTTGTTTACCACAGTTTGACAAGGCCTTTTTATTTTTGCCAACCATAAATATTCAACACCTATTTCCTTCATTTAATTTAGATCTTGAAAGTCACTGACTTTGCTAGACAGAGAGGGTAAGTTTGTACCCAAGACCTCTCCTTTCCCACAGCTTGGTAGGTAAAAATTTCCTGTCAGTACAACTAAAAGAGTGGAAGTGTTTAAATCTTTCCTGCAGATGCTTCTGCAGGCTATGCTAGCTGACCACGTCCTTGGGGCCAACCGTAAAGCTAAGTTTGTTAGGCCAGGAGCAAAGATCCTAGTCCCTGTATGCCACAGAGCGGAAAAGAATGATGTGCCCTAAAAACTGGCCTGAGGCATCTCTGAGGCTGGACAGATCACAGATTTTTTTGAGCATTGTGCCATCCCCATCCCCTTTACAGCCTGCAACCCACCTCTGCCAAGGTGATGCTGAGACTGAGCACCAAGCCCCGGCTGCAGCCCCGCTCACTCTTAGGGCAGCAGGAGAACCTTGCGCTTTCACAGCTTCCCATCACCTCCTGAGGAGGATTTGCTCCCTCCCCAGCAGTGCTGGTGCAGGATCATTTGCAAGCTCTCTAAATTAGATCTGTGGAATCACTGGCACAGTGATTTCTGGCAGCAGAGAGAGGGACGGTGGAAGTCTCAACAAGATTAGGCCTAAAGGGGCAGGAGGGGGAGTGCCTTGACAGTATATTTTCGGGTGTCTATACAGTGGCATTAACCCACTCCTCAATGTAACACAGCTTCCAGAGTAAGACAATTACCTCAAAGCTATATTACATACAAACAAAGTCTCTTTTCATAAATAGATATATACACCCATATATACACACTTCCAGAACAGGAACTTTATGAAACAACCAAGTGAACTGAAGCATTTGAAAACTACTTGGACATACAAGCTCCAGCCAGTCTTTTACTGATTTTACTCAGTTGTAGCAACCAGCACACATTTATCTATAAAGCGTTCTTCTTTATTTAAGTTAAACAAATTTTCAAGGATGGTTTCCATCTATAAAATGAACAAGTACAAGCTCTGTACAGCAGACTTTTCAAACCAACTGAAAAAAAAAACAGTTTTCAAACTATGTTTTGAAAATCTGCAAAATAAACAGTATCACCATTCTTGTTCTGAAGACGGTAAGAAAAGTTCTCAGGAGACTCCATCGCAATTTGCTTCAAGGGCTCTTAATTTATCTTTCAAATGGGTGAATTTCTTCAACATTAAAAACCCCTAAAATCACAGTAAGTAACTTTGGCACACTATCATGTAAACACAACAAAAGGATACCTCTTCTTGGCCGTTCTCTCAAAGAAAAGCGACACACAGCTCCTATATTAAAACCCCTATGCACAGCATCCGTGGGGAATTACTGAAAAAAATATTCCTACTTTATGATTGCTGTTCTCATTAAAGACTAAAGAGATGAAATATGGATTTTATTTTTTTTTAAGCTAGCAATTCTGATTGAGAGACAAGAGGCAGGTCAATATAGAGTTGCAATTGCTCACGTCAGTTAGTGTTACCCTTACTTTGATCAAAGTTGCAAATGGAAATACCTCCATGGTTGAAGCTGAGTGGCTGGGCTGGTTTTTTTTCCTTTTAAATTCTATTTTTCAAAATCTGAAACAACTGACTTGCTGTTGAGCCCATATTTCAGCATTTGTATTTCCAAATCATGAAGGAACCTATTGCTATGTTTATGAAACATCTTCAAGTTCTCAGCTAGGTTAAAAGGCTACAAGGAGAGACTAAATGCTGAAAATAATTCAACCACTGTCTGGCCTCTAAACAGGCAAGTTTTGGAGAAAGTGGATTGTGAAGCATAAGAAAAAAAGTATTAATTTTTCATAAAAAGAGTAAGATGATGGATGGGTAAAACTGGATTTAATGCCCCCATCCAAATCCACACCCCCACGCAGGTACTTGCAAGTCTTAACCTCAGACACACAAGGTGTCTGTGGGCTCACTGACTGGCACTGCTAAAGCCAGAAGAGTACCATCTCTACACCTAATGCACAGGTACAGCCAAAGGAAGAGGAAAAATCAGGAACTACTCTACTCCCAGGACAAAGAAAGAGGAGGACTGTACCAGCATTCTACAGTACAGCACATGTGTTCTTCATCTCCTTATGATCAACCTTTACATTTTTCCAAGATCATCATCTTTCCAAAACCGCTTCCTGGCACTTCATGTCTGCACTAATTTTTGTCAATACTGTCTCACTTATTAGTACTTATTTACCTTGCCTTCTCATTTTAAAAGCTCATTGAAGCATTTGCTTTCAATAAAAAAGTATATAGTCTATGCAAACATAAGAAAGGACACGTCAAAGTTGGGGTTAACTTTGACAGTATTATTTTATAAAAATGACATCAGCTGGACTGAAGCTGCAAAATGCACAAGTTCTATGGTTAAAAACACAAAGGCTATGCAGGTATCCAGGCTGACTCCCAGAGCCAAGCCTGAATCCACTCAAAAGCTCCATTTAAAGAAACAAAATGGAAGAAAATTCCCCAGTAGTAGGTCTAGAGATTAAGCAAGTGCAATTCAGAGATATTACATAGCTGCTCATCCTTGCAAATTAAAATTGCTGTCATCAGTGATGTAACTTATTTCTACAGCTCAAAAGGGGAGTTTGAGACAAATTTTTCTCATTAGGGCCCAGAATAAAACTGTGCTGAACCAACACGGCTGCACAAAAGATCTGTGCGGTTTATATAATTTTAGAACAAAGGAAGAAGTATTTCAAAGACAAAATACTACAGAAATGATCAACACAAATATCAAGTACAAGTTTAACATTATCCAGAGCACATGTAATGAATTTCCAAGTTGGAATAAACTATCCGAGCGATCATCTGGGCAGAGGCGTTGACTTTTTCTGCTATTTTCTTTTTCCTCCTGAGTTTCATGATCTCTCCAGTAAGGGTGAAGTGTTAAGAAGTAGATCCACTTTGCAAAGCAAAAGCATCCAGTGTTAGCACGGACATCATACCCAGCAGCACAAAATCCGCACCTTCGTAAAGTTTCTCTCTCCTAGCACTCCGATCCAATTTCTGGTTATACATATGTCAATCACTTTGTTGATAATTGTAGGATGATGAAAACTGATATAAATCATTGGGAGCTGACAATATATATACTTCCATATATTTATATTTAGAGTCCATCATAGAAAAGTTCATATTCAAATTACCAAGTACACACAGGAGAAAAAAAAAACAACTTCAAAATGACACTTCTGTTTCTGGAAATAACAAACCATGACTTCTATGCAAATGGAGTTTTCAAATGACCTTCTCCTAGTAATTTTTCCCACCCTCCCTCCCACGCCCTGTTCCCCACAGGTGTTTCTTCAGATCCTTTTTGTTTATCATACGTCAGTTGTTCCTAGAGTTAATTATCTGCTGTGCAAGTAGTAACTGAAGACAGAAAGGAACCTTGAAGTTTGTAGCACAATTCCTTCTTGGTGTGAAGGGATGCTCAGTGCCATCTTTGCAGTGCTCTGAGTTTCCTGGATCCCTGGTGTCTGCTTCAGCGCTCTACTTTCAGATAAAGGTGGAATACTGAGGTATATAAGTTCCATGGAAAGTTTTAAGAAATACATCAGTAATTCAATCAAAACTTTGCCCAATGTTTTTCAGTTGAAACAGCATTTTGCCTGTAAGTCCTTCTACTGCTGCAGATTAAGTGTGAATTTCCACTGTTGTGACAAAGAAGGATTGCAGATCTCAACGGTGAGACCACCATTTTTGGCATTTCGGCTGTCTAGACAGAGGTTGCTGCCAACGTGCCTCAGTTTAGAATTGCTTTCAATTTGTTCCCATTTCTGGAAGAGAAAACACAGTTATTGAGCTGGAAAGGTGGGAAAAGGAAGAATTCTACATCCTGTCCTTTCAAGTCTTCATAAGCTCCCCTGGCCTGTGCCTGGGAAAGCTGTGGAAACCGCAGTAATAGTAGCAGTTCAGATGATTCTTGAATAAGAGTATGTAAGTTATGGCAAGCCTTGCCAAAACAGCTGTTCATTAAGCTAACACTCTGCAAGACATGCAGAATACACCACCAAGCCATTCTCCTCTACTTCAGAACTTCTCAAATACCCTGTTACCTGCATGAAACCTTTGGTCTGAAGAAAAAAAATAAAAATCATAAAATCCATACACATATCACTACAATACTGAGCACAGAGAAGCAAGAAGCAGAATCAATATAAACAACTTTACAGAAGTCCAGAAATTTGTCAGACACCTTTCAGTTATGCAGAAGACAACCAGTCAATCTGTGTGCTGTCAGAAGCTCTTTGCCTAACGTGATGTCAAAGGACAGAGTAAATCCCAGAAATATGATGTTAAAAAAAGACAGTTTTTGTCTTATATTTCTAATGTACTGTGCCCTATAAACCTCATCAGGAAAATCTTGCTTCTGTAGTTTCCTGTTCTGAAAAGTGTCAAGAATACTCCTCCCTCATCAAGGACAGAGTTTCAGTTAACTGTGTGTAAAGACAGAGATGCAGAAGCAAGGAAGCTGGCAGATGATCAGAACTGATGACTTAGCAGAAAGAGATGAATTGTTACACGACTAGATCAAAAAGATGGTATGACTCTGCAAATGTGATTTTCCTCAGGCATGGGAAATAGATGAAGTTACAATAGTGCACAAAGAAAAATGAATTTAAGGAGTCTAGTGCTGTTATAAACAGGTCACCACTGAATAGAAGGAAGGCCAAAGAACACTATTCTGAGACACAGACTACATAATCTTCAAACTTCACTTAGTAATACCTTTCAAAAATACACTGTGGAATATAGAACCTATTTCAGAAAACAGACGTGGCAGTTGAAGACTGTTACACATCAGTGCTATTGGGTGAAACCTTTACATAAGGCCCCTGTTGGGATAGAACCTCTACATGACACAAGTGACCAAAGATTATCACTGGCTATGAAAGGACAAGCTCAACACACAAGCTTATTCCTGCTGCTCTGTTTAGATATCACACATCCTTAACTTTACCCACATAAACAACAGTGTGAAGAGTAGAAGTTATAGAAGAGATGATCACCAGTGCATGTTCTTGCATTCTCATTCCCAGCCCTTGTTTTCCCCACTGTTTGCAGAGTGCAGTCACGACATACTGACCTGTCTGCTGTCATTTTCCCTACAGCCCTGAAGTTTTATTAGTGAACCAGGTGCTCTGTCCACAACAGTAAGGCACAAATCCATGTGTTTCACTGACTTGTCCTTTGTTAAGGCCCATTCCTACAAAAAGGAAGAAAAAAAGAGCGTACAAAATTGCGTACATTAACAGATGCACATGCTATCTCTGCATATACAGCACAGTTTAAAATCCTGTAAATAGTTATGTGTGAGCATTAGAACAGTTCATTGTTTCCCACAGAACAGGAGAGGAAAAACGTCCTTTCCAAACACAGTAATTCCAATTGTTTCAGTATCCCCACGTCAGATCAGGGTTGAGCTGGCTGTTTGCTCCCTCTGCTGGCTCC